TAGAACCCAGAGGTCCTCATGGTTATGAACTGTGACAAAGTGAACAACAGAACATATGGCTGAATTCACGAAACCGCCCGCCCCCAAACTCCACTTTTTGGAAGGCACATACCTATGTTGTAGTAAAATAATACTCCCTTAATTTATGATGGTACATGCACAATTAATACTAAGAGAAATAGGAGAAATACAGTCGCCAAGTTACGCCCCATTCAAATAATGGACTCAACTCTCCCTCTCAATTACACTGCCAGCTCTTCCTCTCAGAGAAATTTTTGGGGAAAAAACCACTAAATTTTAATAAATAATACCTCAAACTAAAAGTTAGATAATACATTGACATTGCTGGATTCCTTGTAAGATCAGGGGAATATTTTGAATATAAATGTCAGTATATTTTGCACAAAAGATAACATAGTTACCTAGAGAAAAATTTTATCTAAATTTGTATGTTTAATGCAAAATATATGATGTTTATATTCAAAATGATCACCAAATTATAAGAATTCCAGCAATGTAAATTATATTCTGACCGCACGTAGGCGAATTTATGAGCTAAAACAAATATCTTCAGTTAATAAAAAAAAATAATCTTCACGGCCAAGAGAGTCTGTCAATCAGCACCCCACCTTTGCCTTCCCCTCTTCCAACCGCGCGGTCAGTCCCAACACTTCCCAATTTCACCAATCCTCCCTTCCAGAGTTTTAACATTTAGTATTAAATAATACCAGATTAAAGTTAGATAATATAATTGACATTGCTGGATTCCCTTGTAAGATTAGGAATATTTGAATATAAATGTCATATATTTTGCACAAAAGATAACATAGTTAATTTGAGAAAAATTCTTTATCTAAAATTTGTATGTCTAATGCAAAATATATGATGTTTATATTCAAAAATGATCAAATTATAAGAATTCCAGCAATGTAAATTATATTCAGACCGGTAATTTGTATGAATTTATGAGCAAAACAAATATCTTCAGTTAATAAAAAAAAAATAATTCTTCACAGGGTAATAGATGGTCGGTCGGCTCTCCTCTCCCCCCACCCCCACCAACCGTCCCAAGGAGATGTAGGATAACCACTAAATTTTAATAAATAATACTCAAATCTGTTAGGATAATATAATGATACGTTGATTCGTAGACGGAGGAAACATTTTTGAATATAAATGTCATATATTTTATAAGTCAAAAGATAAATATATATTTATAGTACTTGTATCTAAAATTTAAAATAATGCAAATATATGATGTTTATATTCAAAAATGATCACCAAAATTATAAGAATTCCAGCAATGTAAATTATATTCTGACCGGGTAATTTGTATGAATTTATGAGCTAAACAGGCAGTCAGGCAGGGTGGTGGCGGTGGGCAAATCTAAAATAGTGTCTTCGAAATGACACTCACTCAAAGATATGTAAAAACCTTGTTATGAAAGTCTGAGATATTCATGGTAAGTAATCACAGATATGATAAAAACGCGCTATGAAAACTTACCCTGCAAAACACAGCTGCTATCATCCCCCATTTGCCAGTGACAAAAAGGAAAGTGACCTTGACTGTGACCCCTGTGGCTATTTTTAGCCATTCTTG